AGGGGCGCAGTGGCGCGCGAGCAGCCCCGCGCCACGGCTAGGCCCGCCTCCTCGGCCCGCCCGCTAGGCCCCACGACAGCGTAGCTTCCCTCCTCACCCCCCCCCCCCACCACCACCACCACCGCTATGCTCCAAGGCCCCACCAAAGCTGACCGCAGCCAAGTCGGGACAAACTACCCTGGCTACACTAGAGGGAATAAAAGGCATGGGAAGTTATAAATAAGGGATAGAGGGGCCGCTTGATTTCGACTCGACAGTGTCCATCCGTCCCTCCATCCCCGTCCGTCGGTCCGTACAGCCCGTCCGTACGTCCGTCCGTGCGGCCGTGCGGGCGGCCAGTCCAGCGTCATCCATCGCAGCGGGGCAGCCGAGCAGAAGTAGTCAGTGCGGCCCTTCTTGGAGCGGCTCGGCGGAGGAGCCTTCGCCTGCGCCACCAGAGCGAATGATAGCGGACAATAACATGGGGCCGTGACGGATCCCGAATGCGTATGTGTGTGTGTGCGTGCGTGTGTGTGTGAGAGGGAGGGAGAGGCACCACTGAAAAGGGTATAGTGGAAAGCAGCAAAGGAGAAAGAGAGAGAGAGAGAAGGAGAGGAAGAACGGCGCGGCGGAGGGAGAGGAAAAAGCGTCTGCACGAGATCCGGTCAAACAGAGTTGAAGCACTCTGCTGTGCCGTGCCGGGCCGCCTCGGCCGCCGCCGCCGCCGCCCCATGGCCGCTCAGGTTGGCCTTATTCATTGAGCCCTCGGGTAAACAGGTCGGTAGAACACTCTGCCGTGCGCCGCCGCCTCCTCACCCCTCCCACCCCCGCCCAGCCCCGCCACGGCCGCTCCGCGACCACTGGTCATTTCCGGGAGGGCGCCCCGCCCTTAGCACGCCCCAACGCGCCCCGCCCGCCCCGCCCGCCCCGCGTGACTCTTACGTGTCCCTATCGTGATGATCCGCGCTAGGGCTCCCGCCGCCCCGCCGGGCCGAGGGGAGGAGGGGGAAGGGGGGGATATAATGAATGCAGTCGTCCTTGCTTTTTATTCCCCCAAATTGCGGCATAATGGGGTGCGATTTTCTCGCTGGAGCAGCCCGCCCAGTCCAGGCGGCGGCGGTGGCGGCGGTGGGCGGCCTGCGCGCTCGGGCTGGCGGGGACGGCCCCGGGGCACGCCCAGGCCGGGGCCCCGGCGCGCCCACGCCGCCCCCTCGGGGGGCCCGGCGCGCGCGCGCGCGCTCACCCGGCCAAGACCCGACCAGCAGCGCGGCGCCAGCGGGCTGCAGGGGGGAAAAAAAAGTAATTAAAGCACTCAAAGGCAAGACGGGGTCTTATGTTGACTCAAACGAAGGGCAAATAAATTGCTTTGTAATGATTGTGGGGGGACGGCGAGGGGAGGCGAGCGGGGCCGGGGCCGGAAGGAGCGTTGACCTCTCCCGCAGCTCCAGGGACAGCTGCAGGCGAGGCGCGCGCGCGCGTTCCTGGAGGGGCGGGACTTGCACTCCCTGGCAAACTCAGTTGAAAGGAGGGCAGAGTTGGGAAGTATTTCTAGTGCTCCATTCTGAAAATGAGGCGAGGCGATGCTGGCCGAGGGGGGCGCTACACCATGGCTACACTGGCATCGAAAGTGTTTTCTTCGGTGCACTTTGAAATTCTTTTGTGTGAATGTCACCTGCAGGTGAGCGAATAAATTCACATTCTTAGGCGTTTGACAAAAAAACTCGCACAATTGTTGGTGAGCGGATACATTTGCAAAAAGATGGCGGTTCGATTCGCTCATCCGCAGGTGTGCAAATATTTAGTCACACATCTAGAAAGGTTTCAATTTATTCACTGAGAAGCAGACGTGTGCGACATTCGCACCCTCGGATTCTGAATGTAGTGTTAAAACTCTATAATAGGGTTACTCTAGGGTCACTGGGGTGCACTACTGCAGCTAACGGTGCAAATCACCGTGCCCTTTCAACGGTGTTGCGGTCTAGCTGAGGCAGTGCACCATTATTACAACATCAATTTGAAGCGGGTAATGTAATGCACCGCCATTGGCGTTGTGTCGGGGCTGACAGCTCTAGCTTTTGTGCGTCGCTGAGGTTGGCGCGAGCCCCCCTTCTCGACAGAACGGAACGTGGGGGGGACGGAGTCGGGGACGAGTCCTTCGCCGCGCCGCGCTCCTGCTGGGAAGCGCCCCGGCAGTCCTGAACGACGACGGGGCTGCTCGGCTCGACCGAGCTAAGGAACGGTAGGGCGACGGGAAGGGGAAAGGGGTTTGGTCGAAGATAAAGACGGGCAGTCGACTGATAGAGCGAGCGAGAAGGACGGCGCGATAGCGGGGGGCGGGGGTGGAAGAGGGTGGGGGACGGCAGCCAACGGCGAGCGGACAAAGGGATTCCCCGCATTCTGACATTACAATTAATCAGTCTCCAGTGTTGGTAACAGAGAGATCTCCAGTGGGCCGCCCGGCCCGCCGCCCGCACCAGCCCCTAGGATGTCCTCTAATCCCTCAAGGGGCGCAGTGGCGCGCGAGCAGCCCCGCGCCACGGCTAGGCCCGCCTCCTCGGCCCGCCCGCTAGGCCCCACGACAGCGTAGCTTCCCTCCTCACCCCCCCCCCCCCACCACCACCACCACCGCTATGCTCCAAGGCCCCACCAAAGCTGACCGCAGCCAAGTCGGGACAAACTACCCTGGCTACACTAGAGGGAATAAAAGGCATGGGAAGTTATTGATAAGGGATAGAGGGGCGCCGACAGAAGATAAGACTCTGCCGACTGTCGCGGCGTCACACTTACATGAGGGAAAGAGGGAAATGTGCCGACGTTTGCTCGGGACGCTGGTCAAAGAGTCGCGTCACCCAGCCAGAAATGCATCGACGTTTATTTGCTTCGACGTTAAGTCAACCTTGAGCAAACCAATACAGGGTCCGAAATTCAACGGAACTTCGACTTCGACGTCGATTCGACGTTTAATCAAATTCGCGTTCCTGGCTGGGGTCAGCCGTGGGCAGCCACAGCCACTCAGAGCGGCAGTACCTTCTGGCTCCAGCTTGGGAGGTTATGGTCTGTCAAGATTTACCTAATCCATTACCATGGACTCTACTCTCTGATTCTCCCAGCAACTAGCAAACACCCGTTACTAGCTCTCGCATCTGACCGGGTATCTCTGCAAAAGATGTGCGCGCTCGACACATTACCGTGACGAACGAATTTTGAATTTACTTTTGTTCTTGTTTCGAGCGGATCTTTTTGGATCCGTTGGTAAATTTACCACGACGCTGAGTCTCCCGATGGCGACATTTTAAAAAGCGTCGCTAATTAAAACAAAATAGGTTGCGAATGGAGTGAAATATGAAACATCTGATATTGAGAGCCGAACATACTTCAAAGTTTACAGGTTTGAGGTTAGGTTACGTTAGTGTTTTGAACTTACCTGATGTTGGGTGAGGTAGGAAAGTTGTGATGGACAGCAGTTTGTTATTTTCACTTCGTCACTCGAATAGGATAGCCGGTGCACTACACAAGATCTTCAGTACTAGTGACAGAGAAAGAGCCCCGCCCCCCCTACGCGTGAAACAACTGGAGGGGGACTGGCCCCGAGCGTCGAGCTCATGCGGCCAGGGGATTCACGTGGCGGAGATTGTAGCGTGGCAATGAGTAGCCTAGTTAGAAGAAGAAAGGCAGTCGGTGTCGTCGTGTGTAGTCGCGGACTAACAAAGCGCAGCACATAACCTGGTCGCGGATCGCGAAACGCGAAACAATCCCAAAGAGATGTTTTGAAGTTGTTATCGAATGTAAAACTAAGTGGGGAAACACAAAACACAAGATCAATACTATATTGGCGGGCTAGCACATATCTCATTTTTATTTTTAGTTTTGTGTGGTCTTATTTTTTTTAAATACAGTGCGCGCATCTTGTTTGAATTCCCAACCTCCCCCTTCCCTCTCCCCCTCCCCATACCGCACCACCACATACAACAAACAGTTGCAACACAGACAAACAGACGATCAGGCGGGCAGAGGTGGTCGACAAAATGATAACAGGCATGCACATTCCCCTGCCCCCAGAAGCGCTACTGCATTAAATTATGCGCTTCAATGCGCATTGAAATGCACATAAAAGGTCACACATTGGTGATTCATTAAATGCGCGTAGAGTGCATAAAATGCGCATTGAAATGCGTCTTAAATGCTGTAATGCGCTTTTAATGCGTCACCAATGTGTAACCTTTTATGTGCATTTCAATGCGCATTGAAGCGCATTGAATGCGGTTGGCGCTACTGGGGTGCCTTTGCCTTTCCCAAGTAGAGGTTTTGAAGTTGTTATCGAATGTAAAACTAAGTGGGGAAACACAACACTGAAGATCAATACTAAATTGGTGGGCTAACATCTAGCCAGGAATCTCCTTTTTTTGGTATTTTAAAAAATGCAGTGTGCGCAACTTGTTTGAATCCCCAATCCTCCCGCCCCTCCCACCAAACCACATACAACATACAGATGCAACACAGACAAACAGACAGGCAGGCAGCCAGGCAGAGGTGGTCGACAAAATGATAACAGGCATGCACATCCCCCTGCCTTTGCCTTGCCTTTCTCCCTTCACGGCCGCCTTGCCGTGAATGCCCCACATTTCCCTCCTAACGGTGAAATGGAAGAAGCTTGTCGAGGTGAGCGGCGAGCGCGCGCAGGGGCGCGGCGTGGTGCGCGGCGTACACCTTCTTCTCCTTCATTACTAGGAATCACGCTCACGACACGGCGTGGGCGGGGCGGGGTGGGTGTGGGGCGCCCCGGTCGCGACGGACGGCCGGGGTGCACCGTCCACCCTCCAGCCAGCCCGCCGCCCCCGGCCAGCCTGCTGAGGGCTCCGGCGAGGCTCTCGGAACTGACGACCCGCCTCCTCCTGGCAGATCTTTATCGCGCTGGAAATTAAAAGTCGTCTTGAATGTTATTTGCCGTGCCCACTCCTTCTCCTTCTTAAAGCCCCCCCCCTTTTCCCCTTTCCTCTTCCTACCCCATGAACTAGTAGTGTCCCACACTACCTCCGCCCCTTGCAGCGGTACAAGAGGGAGAGAGACGGTACGGGAAAGGCAGAGGGGTAGGAGAAGGCGACTGCACCCTCCGAGACACCTTAATTCAGACCCCCCACCCCCCTCCTCCACCGACACTGTGACACGGCGATGGTATCTGTTTAGCCCCGCTGCCGCCGCTCCTACACGCCGTATACATTACGACTTCAATAACTTTTTTTTCTTCTTCTCTCGCCCTTGCTTCCCCGCTCTGTATATATCTTTCCCGGTGAGTTTTTGAACCAAACTGCGTGTCGAGCGGCGCGCCGACTAGAATTTGGGGACATAAAAGTTTTATCGGGTCATTTCCCCCTTCTACCCCCTCCACCCCGCAGTGTGTCATACATTAATGCCGTGCGACCACGTTTCCGGCCGAGTTGAAGGGGAGGGGGCAATGGCGGAGGGCGGCACAAGGTCGAGAAGGGCGCGCCGGGCCCTCGAGAGGGGGGAAGGGAGGGCGGGGAGGGATCCTCTTCGGACCTCGGCGTCGAGAGAGGCGAGCTCGCCCCTCGCCTCCGTATACCAGAGCCTCCGCTCCGCACCAGCTATTTGTTTATTGTTGGAATGAATATTAATAAGGTCGCAAATTTTCTGTCACACTAAAAGGAATTTGGAGGTTTTAAAACATTGTACGGCGCGCGAAGGACGAGAGATAGAAGGAAAGGGGGGGGGGAGTGGCGCATGAGAAAACCGGGAGCAAGGGAAAGCCCTTCCCCTCTTTGCTATCATTTAGCTAATAGGGTCTTTCGCCCAATCTGACCCCATTTTACACTCAAAGAAACAAGGGAGACCGCAAAATGCACCAGAAAACTCAATACTAATGTATTTGATGTAACTTATTTTTCGCAATTATTTAGGAATAAGACAACTATTAATGTGGCAGCAGCGAGACAGCGATGTGTATTCTGTGATTACACACAAAAAGTATCGCATGAATGAATTTCTTTGTAAGCTTTAACAGTGAATCTTGCACCACTGTCAGAAGAGCTTTATGTAAGCTACGAAGCCGGTTCCTTGTAATATACGATGCTTCTGTTTTCTTCGTATACCTTACAAAGAAAATCCTTATGTAATACAAAGCAGTGATGCTTTGCTGACTTTTCACAGGGCGTCGTATCCTATAGTGTTGCAGGTTGCTCAGAAATCCACCGTTGAAATTTGAAGACGTTCACGACGTCAGGACATTTTTGAACATCACTGTGTATCTGTCCGACTTTCAGCTGCATTCCAAGCTGTGGGGGAAAAGCAGCTGAGTCATGCACGTGTCTAGCCCCTTAACTCGCTCATTCGCCTCCGCGCCATGCCGCGACGCGAGTTAAGCGATGCTATACGACTCTCTTCTCTCTGTCTCGCTCGGGAGGGGCCGGACCAGACCGTATCCTCTTATCTTTTCGTTTCCCCTATAACAACAGCGCGGGGACGGGGGCGGGGGGCGGAATCGGTGAGGGCCTTGGAAGGAACAGCGGGGGCCGTGTCGGGGGCCGGGGGGCCGAGCCGGGGGCGGCGGCAGCGCGACGGCGGCCGCTCGCCCGGCCCTCCCTTTGTCACGGACCGCCCCGCCCCACCACGCCACGTTTGAAAGAAAGTTACGCCCTGTTTTTCTTTTCACACTCGCATGCCGTCCGCCGTCCCGGGGTCCAGTCGCACAAGCGCTGCGCTCGCGGGGGGAAAATAAGTTACCGCTGTGCTGCCCACAGAACTCACCGTACTACCTGCCATAACACCCCGCCACTCAGTCTCCTGAGGACAGGCTTGCAGGTGAGTATCGTTTCCAGGACGTTGTGCAAGCACCATAACGCGCAATATCCCGACCCAAAATGTT